GATTGGGAGCATTGCGTTTGCCTCTCAGCGGCTTTCAGCATGGCGACGGCAAACAGTGCAAACCGCGGGGAAAGTGCTGACAGAGCTAACGGTGTTTAGCTGAGGGGGGGGAAACGGAGGGTGGGTTCTACGTTTGCGCGACAAAGCTAGCGATCGGGACGACGTTATCAGCTGGTACCGCTGTATGACAGTCCAGAATATCGATCAATCATCACCAACATAACGTAAATTCGGACGGAGATGGAAATAAGGGAAAAGGAAGGAAGCGCAGTGTCCGTTCAATACAACCTTGGATGACTGTACAGCAGAATATGGACACATTGTCGTGCATTGAAAAAGACACTAAAAGAAGAGTCTGCACCTTAAACATATAGGCAAGGCACGGAGTCTTAAGGATCTGTGTTGACGTGCAGCCGGCTGCACAGGCACGAGGTTGACATATAACCCTGAACACATGGAGCCACTCTCTGAGAAGAGAAAGATGTTATCTATATCCAAAACAACACCTTCTGTTATACCTTAAAGCACTGCCTCGAGCATAAACATGATGGTATTCCATCATCTCTCTTGATGGATAATAGACTTGACATTTACTGACATTTCCTTCCAAATGTAACTTCAAAAACATCCTGGATTGGAGAATTATATCATGAACATCTTACATGTTTGTGTCTTGGTGGGACCAATTTTGAAACATGTCAACATCTCAGACTTAAATGCAAGGTTACCTTTGAAGCACTGATGTGTGATTGAGGAAAGCACTGCTGTATATCTAGACCTGCCAACTCTGACCTGCCAATCTTTTTTACCATTTTGGTGAACTTAACGCCTCAGATGGAAATCACGTCTGTCGGCACAATGATTGACTGTACATCATTAATGTACATGCAGCAGTCCATCGGAAGAAATAAATAAGGGATGAACTGAAGTGAGATTGATACCAAAAACAGATTGTTTGCAAAAATATTTGCAGATACTGTTAGTTTGTCTTTGTGCCTGTATTCGTCCATTTGTCTTTCTCCTGCATAAACCATCTGAGGAACACTTAGGCGGAAGGTGGAAAGGTAGAAAAGAAATACACAGGCTTTACTGATTTGGGAGCCTTCCTGCAGCAACTCCTAGGTCCACACAATTTGTATTGGTCGGCTATAGAGAGTTTATTGGTAGAAGAACAAACAATGACTCCAGTCTAGTGTCTCAATTGGCTCAGCTATATTTTTTATCCATTACATTGGTGAAAAACAAAACAAAAAAAAGACAACTGTCCTCTTCTTTGTGTAAAGTAACAATTGATACTGGTGTACTCTGATGTCAAAAGGCATGCCTGCTATGCAAAATGTGTACAGGTTGGCAGGTGTGTATATCTAAACTTGCAATAACACATTGTTGGTCTCTTGGGGGCAGCAGAAAAAAAAAACTACAAACACAACATTGACATGCTATTGTACGTATCACCCCAGAGACTGAACACACCATTAAAGTTGTGGCCAGAAAACTCAAAACAATTATTTTGTAGACACAAAAAAAAAAAAGAGAAGTGTGAGGAACGACAGAGTCAGACGATGAATGTCTGTTTGTTTTCACATGACAAGTAGTCATGTGATCCAATGTTAATCTGAAATTATGGAGTATAGCAGCTTTAACAGATACATCCAACATTAAGTCTATGGCATGGTCATATGAAAGACCCTAGGCATTTTCACTTTGTCTATAAAATGCCTTTGGAGTAATGGTGATTTTAATCAGAATATTTCATGTTTCATTCCTTTACAAGCCATTAGCTACAGTAGGAAAGGAGACACCCTTAACGAGTGTGACTAGGACAGCCTGCGAGGACCACTGGGCACTATAAAAGTGATGCAGTCTCCATTGTGCACACGCCGTTAGACTATTGATACAAAGGAAAGGCATTTGATAGGAGACCCTTGTTCTGAGTTATGACGGGGGGCACAGACTTTTTTTTAAATCTGTTTATGATAAGAGGACAGAGAGCAGGATATCGAGCAGGACTGGTTGGGGAAAGGACAAAGAAGGGAGGAAGCAAAGCAGCACTTGTGTGGAAGTGCAAATGTACAGTATGTGGGAAGAGCTTGCCTTCAGGGATTAAAACTATCAGGTTTGGAAATAAGGATCATTAGTGATTGCATTCATGAAGCAAATTCACTCCAGGCCTTTCAAATAGCGGCAAATTAGAGTGGTATCATTTTTTTCTCACAATAATGGAATTATTTAGCCACTTACTGAAGCCTTCAATTACATCTCTAAAATTTTATGGTTAGACTATGGAGGCAAAATCACTCTGAGGTTTTTTTTGGAAAGCAGACTCATTTCAGTCTAGGGTCAGCAGGCAGAAACATAATCAAATCCATGACTTATTCTTATGAGCTATTTTAAGTTATGTGCATAGTGCAGTGTTGTTAGATGTTAATGTCTTTGCTCGTAGATGGCCACCTTTTCTAACTGACAGTTTCAATAAAGTCTCTGTCTGTCGCATGAGACGTCTTTTCCATCATTTTTGTGTCGCACAATGAAATCAACAGCGAAACGCTGGTACTGGATAGCCATGATTCCAATAAATAGCAGGCTCTAACACATTCTTCTATGTGAAACAGCAGCATCTGAGGCCAAGTGGGAGAGAGACAAATCACTGGAAGAAGAGGGTTATTATTGGCTCAGAGGCCTTCACACTGGATACAACTAAGTAAAGGTTGAATCAGCTGCTTGTGGAGAGTTAATGTACTTGGTAATAATAAAATCTGCAGCTAGCTGCTCGAATAAAGCCCCTTTATCTTGCAATAAACTTGCTATGTGTGTAAATATACAGCATATTGTGTTTGGATAACATTGTCCTTCACGTCATGTGTCAGAAACAATCCACCCAGCATCTTGAAATTGTCAAATCAATCCAATAATATTCTGTTTTTCTACAATTCTGTTGTATCTGTGCATGATTTTGTTTCAAGTTCTCCCGGTGTCTGTTTTTCTGCCACCATTCTTCCTCGTTTATTCTCAGTCACTCCTCGCTTTTGATTGAGCTCAGTCATTGTGCCATTAAATATCCCGGTGCTGAGCTAAATTTTTTCCATACTGAATACAGTAAAATCTTTATGTGGAAGGTCCCCAGACCCCCATTTTCTGCTCTTCTTCACTGTCCTCTTTCCCAATTCTCTTTGTCTTCGTCCCCAGAGTTTCATGTACCAACTTTTGTTATAGCCAACAAAGACCCCAAAACTATATTTCAATGAGCTTCTCGCTACACTTTGAGGGTATGAGAACAGATAAGTGTGGTTAATTTGAAGGTCTGTGCTTGTGTTTCTGTCTATATGCGTCTCTATAGTATTTGTTTTGTAAATTATAGTAGAAATGCTGACAGTGAAAAAAGCATCTGCATGAAGTCTAAAATGAATATACTGCAAGTGCTTGAAAGAGGTACAATATGTACAGCTTATGAAATAACTGAATTCAGAAAGATCTGTCTGTCGATTATAAACAAGGTTATTTCCTTCTAAACGTTCTTGAATGAACCAACAAAGAACCACGTTATTCGTAACTATCTTAGCATTCAGAGCGTTTCGATTGTATCCACACTGGGCTGAGCCTGCTGCTCACGGATAATGGTGCTAACAGAGCTAACGGAGCTAACGGAGCTAACAGTGCAGACAAAGCAAGGAGAAGCTCAGATAGCAACTTCATTCTCTGCTCAGGTGGACATTACTGCACTTTATTGTTATTTATTAGTTATTTGCCACTATATTAATGCTCTGAATGTCATACAGAGAACCTGCTGTTGTTTTTGGAACAACACACTAATTCAATCACTTCATTTTGATAAAGGAACGTAAATGTCGAGACTTAGAATTACCAAGTTCAGCTCGTACTTGTGGCTCAAACCTGGCTCTTTGCAGTACTGCAAGGGTTAATGTGGCATGTAAACCTGATACTCCTTTTACAGTTGCCTCCTAACACGTGTGTAAGCCCAGATCTACGACTGCTGGGGATTAGTACAGTTTGCAGGCGTTTACGGGGCCGGAAATCAGTTTTATAAGCACCGTGCGGTGCACAACGGGCGGTAAGAAACACTGCTTATATTACTGGGTCATCATTCCTTTCCAAATTCAGAGTCACATATTATTGATTTATAAAGGACGACTGCTGATGTCTGTTTAACACCATTATTCATGAGAGACAGGGATGTGCAGTTACTGGGTGTCAAAGGTGCTCGTAAACAACCTGAATCAGACCGTCACCACTGACAGCCAATGTCCTGTTCACACCATGCATGTAATACGAAGCAATGACACCAGAGCAGGGGAAGACTAAATACATTTGGCGAATGTGTGTTTTCGCCTCTCAGCCTTCCTCTCTGTTCGTCGCATGCCTGCTCTGCTCTCACATCTGTTGGTATTTACTGAGTGAATTATGTTTACGTCTGGTCTGAGAAAACAGGATAAGATCAATTGAGTGACTTAAAACATAGATTTTCTCTGCCCCTTCCTCCCGTTCTGTGACAGGGGAAATGGTTTTGTCAGGCAGACGACCCTGAGGGCATGAAAACCCAGCAGGCACCTCAAACAGGCGGTCATTTTTTTTGATCAGAGAGCAAACCCCCCACTTCTAACCGATAGCATCAATTCAGCCTGGACAAAATGCGAAGCCCATCCGTTCCCCAAATAACGCTGCCAATGTATGCATAGTCAAAATCAAAGCACTCTTTGCCTCACCTCTAGCTGTTCTTGTTTTCCATAGGTCGGTCTGCTATACATATGCTCAAAGTGAATTTAGTTTGAACTACAGTTTCCCATGAATAACTAGACGGAGTTGTAAAATAAATAATCAGTCATCAAAATAGGAACTACATGAACACAGAGACAAGGAAACAATAAAAGTCTCAGAGAAAGAGTGGCCAGGTGGACAGAAAGGAGAGAAAAGAGCATCTACACAAACACAAAGAGCACTGTATCTTTTAAAAAGAATGCACACACACACACACACACACACACCTGGTAGGAGTCAATGACTTCCCGGTCCAGTGAGCGGCTGACTGACACTTCTCCTGTGTCTATGTCAATGGTGAAGAGACCTTTGGGATCCTGGTCAGCACCGGGGCCTGTCAGACGGAAGATATGGTTCCCCAACCTCCCTGTTGAAATCACCTGCAGACACACACACACACACACACATCAACAACACGAACAATTGCAAGCTTTTCCCATTTCATTCTGAGTAAGCCTATTTCCCGAGGCAAAGAATTGCTGAATTACTGCTTCCATTTTCTATTTTTTTTCTCCTTTTTTTTTTTTTTTTTTTTTTGAAGCAAAGCGCAATGGAAAACACTTATTATTAGAATTTGTTAATACACATTTCAGCAAAAGGAGCTTACTGTGCCTTGAATGGTGATGCAAATCCCTGATAGCTAGCAATTAAAAATGCATATCAGACAAGACTTTGATTTGATTTCATCAGTTGGCAAGAAAGTTAGCATCATTTCCCTGAGCATTGGAGGCCTGCTGTTACCACTTGTTAATGCATGGTAGGATTCCTCTCAGATAAGGAAAGTGGAACAGTTAAATAAATATAAAAAACATTCCTTAATTATTAAGTGTGAATGTTATGTAGAGTCGTGTTTTCGGAAGATTCAGTACCGAAAGGCTGTGAGATAGCCTTGTACGGTCGTGTTTTATTGTTTTTAAGTGCTGCCAAGTTCGTTGGCTGACAGGAGCGATCTGACCCAGGGACTCTTTGGATAGATATACTCACATGAGACTGCCGTGGCCAGCAGCATCCACGGATAACCCAGCAACAGGACCGGGAAGGTTAGAAAAAGAAACACAGAAAAACAGCATGTTAGATTCACATAGCACCGAAAAACAACAGCAAGATCTCTGCAGATCCTGAGTTCAGGCTGGATGGGAGAGAGGGAAATATGATAAAATACTAAACCAAAATTATAAAAACCTCATATGTGGACTGACTTTACAAATTGTTTATACTTTATACATAATACCAGATTCACAGCATATAGGTATATTTTTCAAATTTTGAAGGTGTCCCAGTAAGATATATGAGAGACTCTGTTTTGTCTGCAAAGTGATGATTAAGTGGTTCAGAACAACACAATGTGCATGCTTTAAAGAAATAGATTGCTTTTTTGGATATATATCTATCCGTCTAACTTTCTTGCTGATAGTTGAATGAGCGCATGTATACAACTCTTATGGCTGCACAGTAAATATATGTAGGTGGAGCCACAGGACGGTTTGCTCTGCTTAGCATAAAGACTAGAAAAATGGGAAAACAATTAGCCTGGTTCTGTTCAAAGGTCACCTTCAAAGCTCACTGACTACCATTTCATATTGTGTTTGTTTAAAGTGGGGGTAATGTGCTGGACTGCTTCTCTACCTTTGATGAGGGCCAAAGGTAGTTGATGTTCCTACTCTGTTCCCACTCCTGGATGTGAACAGCCTCACGGGTAAAGCCCGAAAGTCAGCACTTTAAGTTTCCATCATTTCAACCACAACAAGGCGTCACTGTCTCAACACTTCCAGACTGTCTAAATACTAAAAGCAGCCAGTGTGTGCTGCACCCACACAAACCCACACATGGTGGTGACCACTGTGACATCCTTCTGGGCCTCAGCACTGTCGCTGTGAGCAAAGGATGCAAACGGTTCCCCTGCACTGCGCCTCGTGATCAGACGGCTGCCACGAGGTCACCTTTAATGAGAGCAGGCTTCCGCGGAGCGGCAGCTGAAATGACGGCCTTTCTACTCCTCCACTTGAAAGAGCATGGGAGATGAGACTGCAGCGTTACAACCCCATGCCAGACGGAGCTCAGGCCCTTACAGCCTCTCCAAAGCTCTGTGCCATTTATCTCGCTGTCCCGCTTCATCTTTCCCCTCTGTTCCCTCTCGCTCTTGTGCTCCCTGTTCCACAGCTTGTTACTTTCTCCATTATGTTCATCCTTGCTCTTCTGCTAAGCGTCCATATCTCATTCTCCATTCATCGTTTTCCACTTCTCTGTACTGTATCCTCTGGTGGTCACTCCCTCTGCTCTCTGTTTTTCGTACAAAACGATGAGAGCGAGAAATGTCAAAAGTGTAGCAAAAAGCAGTCATTTGTGTATGATTCTCATAAACTGAAAATATCCATCTCTTCAGTCCTCTCTCGCTCTTGCTTCCCCTTTTTTACTTCTCCCCCTCCTCTCTGTCTTTCCCAGCCTTCTTCTTTTCCTTGTAATCTGAGAGAGGTCTTTTTTTTCAACAGCTGTAATATCAAGCATACTTTCTATTATTACTAGTTGTGTTAGAACCCCCTAATCATACAGTAAGTCTATATAGTTTCCACATCTTTCTAGCCGTGTGAGGACATAAACATTCAAGTACAAAACCCAACTCTGCACACACACACACACACACTTTCACAGGGCACAGATTTTTCTGAGCAGTAATCACAGTGGCAGCCAACACCTACTAGGATTGATAAACTGGGTCAGATGAAGGAAAAATAACATGGATGAGGCGCAACATTAGTTGGATTCGCGGATCAAACTTGGATGGATGCGGGGGGGGGATGTACAGGGGTGTGTGCGGATGCGGAATGAGAAAGTGAGAGAGGAGGAAGTAGAGAGTGCGAGAGAGGGAGCGATCGCTGATAAAGACAGTAACTTCAGCTGAAGAGTAACTGAAGTGTCAGGAGAAGTTTTGTGTTTAGGAGATGTCTCTGTGGGGGAGAAGTGTGGTAATCTGCACCGCACGTACACACACACACACACACACTCCGACTTGAGCGCATGCTGGCATAGAAACGTGCACCCAGTGGCTTTGTCTCCGCTGAGTTCTGTCTCCCTCTGCGTGTGTGGAGGACTGATGGGGGAATCTCACCTCTTTCTATCAGCTCTCATTACCAGCCAAGCAGACATGAAAGACTGTGTTGCTCGTGATACTCCGGGAAGGATGACAGGAGGTGTGGCGCAGCTCCGCAACACCAAACACCTCCGAGCATGCAGAGCGAATGAGCACCAAAACAATGCATCGGCACCTTTGTGTGTGTGTGTGTGTTTAAGCTTGATAGCATTGCTTGCTGTTTGTGTTCCTGCCAGGTGTCACGAGGCCACAACAAATAAATACCTGTAGAGGAGCAACACAGATATGTATATATACGCACACACACAGGCACACAGTCTTCTCAGAAAACTTGTTATGTAACTTTTAAAATCCACCCTTGTGTTGTGTGTGCATGTGTGTTTGTGTCAAAAAAATCAAGAGAAAATCTGCTGTGTCGAAGCAAAGGGTGCCAGAGAAAGTGGAATTTGGTCCGAAGAAAACACCATTACACTAATTCATTATAATACATACACACACACACACGCACACACTCCCCATGTCCGTTTGTTTTTGAGGGAGAACGAGGGAGGATTTCAACTCCAGTGTGTGTGTGATCGAGAGCGTGAGAGAGAGAGAGAGAGAGAGAGAGAGAGAGAGAGAGAGAATGCTGTAGCATCCCTCAGTGGTGCTTCTGTTATCCCCATCAAGGTCATACAGCCAGCTGCGAATGACAATCACTGGCAATGAAAGGGCTCCTGGGACCAGGCCAGGCCTTGTGTGTGTGTGTGTGTGTGTGTGTGTGTGTGTGTGTGTGTACAGTACGAGTGTGTGTGTGTGTGTCTGTACAAGCATGCCAGGCCTGGACCAGTGCTCTGCTTGATTGTGTCGCCACTCCAGCCTGCTAATAAGAGGGAAGAGGCGGAGGTGGAAAGGCCTGTTGAAGACAGGGACGGGTAGAACTGACCGAGTCCTCAGCACAGGAAAATGGGAAAGCAGTGGCGCTAATTAACTGGCTTTGATCGGTGAGCCTAATTATTATGCTGAGCCAATCACAACAAGCCTGAGAGGGGCAACAATCAAGAGGGACCCTTGTTGAAAAAAACAAAAAAAACAGGAAGAGAGGAGTGTCATTAAGCAGCTGTGTTAAGAGGGTCAGCAGGGACTTTTGAAAAGACGCTTTAATTCACACAGTCCAACTTGTCCTTGCTTACTGATGTGTGTCAGTCTTTTTGTTGCTCGTCTTTCAAGGCAACAACTTTAAAGCAGGCATAGTAACTTAACAGACAATTATTTAAATGAAAAGCTTTCAGATTACTACTTTGAGGAATGTGAAAGTACATTTTAAAGACATTTTAGCTAAAAGGGAACTTGTTAAAAATCCCAGAAGACCACAAATCAAAATGTAGCAAAAAAAGCACTTAGTAAAAGAATCCAACGAAGAATAATTAGGATGAATGTAATGCCTTCAGCCATGGAGAAGGACTATGGCTGCCTGTGTTAGCTTCCTCTGGCAGCAGGATGAGCACTCACTCAGTCTTGCTTAAGCTCACGCAAGGACATGTCTTAGGAAGTTCCTCCTCGACAAATATGTTTTGTTTTTTTATTGTTTCTGCTTGATTTTTTTCAGGCTTCCCGCATCAAAATGGGCTTGACATCTGTTCGATGCGTCTGGGGGTCCAGCATTTATGTCTATAGGGTTTTAACTCAACGCCGATGAACATCCGCCACAAACAGGCATGATTAACATGCAGAAAGACAGACAGTGAGAAAAAAAGGCTGGAACAAGACAATTAAGAGAATCAATTAGACTAAATGACGAGGCCCCCAGACTCCCTTCTTTCTAATGTTGTGACATCTCACAACACAAATATAGATAAAGTGGAGAGGAGAAAATGAAGAGATAGAAACACAGTTATAAGGGAAGAAAAAGAAAGTTGACAGACACCGGGTAGAGGGCAGCAAGACAGAGGAGAGAGAAGGACGGACAGACAGAGGAAATTAGAATGCACTCGGCATTGAAACCATGGAACAAAGGAGCCCGACATGTCTATTCGCCTCACTATATTAGCTGGAGCTACAGCAAAGCCTGGCCCTCATTCCTCTCAGCAACAGTACTTTATTGGAGCTGTCATGTCAAGTCAGACACGTTGTGATAACTTGTGAGCTGGTAAGGAAGGATAAACACAGGTTGAATGGTTGAATAACTGACAGCTCCACTGCAGCGCGGAAAGTTAAGCTCGCTTTAGAGATTTAATGCTGATACATCTGACACTTCCATTTGTTAGTTAATGGGGCTGCATGCGTGCGTCTTGTTTTTAAGTGTTTTTAGTGCATTCTCGCACTTGCCTGTTTCAATTAGTGGATTTGAGTTAATGTTTTGGGCTTTTTGGAATGAATTGAATGAATAATTTAATTAGCAAGCATCCAATAAAGAAATCAGCCCATGTAGCCTATGAATCAGTTTACATAGGCTACATGGCAGCTATGACCCCAGACTCATCCATCCATTCAGATTATACAATCTAATGCTGTGTCCGAAATCACTCACTACTAAATAGATAGTCCACTATATAGTGAGTTTGCCATTTTGTAGCGCTGTCCGAATGTATACTGAGAATGTATACTAAATTGACAACTCAAGCTGCTGGAGAAGGTGGGCTTTTCTACCCAGTGGACTCAAAGTAGCGCACGATGCGTCTTGAAAAGAAGTGTACAACCGAAAGTCACAAAGCAAGCACTATATCCCATCATGCATTGTGCTAACGGAAAAACGGCGAAAAGAGCAGCGCATCACAAAACAAATGTCCTTATTGCCCTCACATTGGCCATGGCAGCGCATACCGCTTTTCCTCCTTCCGTTCTTAACTTTCACAATAAAAGCCCTAAACATATAAGCTGCATCACTGCTTACCAGGGGAACCTAAATGCACTCAGAGCATTT